ATTGTTTCTTGTTCTGCGTCTCTCTCTCTCTCTCTCTCTCTCTCTCTCTCTCGAACGCAAAAAAGGTTTCTTCGCGACACGATCAAAAGAAACTCTAAGGAACTGAACGAGAAAAGCGCGGTGAAAAATCGGACGACGTGATGATGAATATTAACGCACTCTTCATTTTTTATTCGAGTTATTTAAAAAAAAAAGGAGAGAGAAAAAAAAAAGGTTTCACATACAATAATAGTGTATATATGTGCCAAGAATCAGGTCTTACTACACGAATATCCTCTTATTCCCTTCTTCTTCAATTTTTCCTTTTTCTTTTCTTTTCCCCCTTTTTTCTTTTCTTTTTTTTTTTTTCACTTTTTTCCTTTTTAATCTCCTCTTCTCTATGTCTCTCGTTCTTTCTCTCGCACACGCATACTACACATACGTACAACTGTTCGGCAATTTATGCACCCCCCTTTCTCTCCCTTTTGGCTCACATTCACGCCGCTCACGCCTCACTCTCGCTAATATTCTTCGTAGATTAAATCGTCGTATAGCGTGCGCTCGGTTGAAAATGAACCCCCTTGCCCGTCGTGACACCCTCGACGAACAAACGAAGAAAGGAAAGAAAATCACGTAATAGACGAAACAATCTTTTTCTTTTTCTTCCTCTTCTTCCTCCTCTTCTTCTTCTTCTTCTTCTTTTTCTCAAGATTCATTCTCAAGAGGAGAGGCATCAAGGCAACAGGGTTCACGTGTCCTCGCTAAAGAACCTCTACACGTTATAGAAATCTCCTAAATATATATATTTCCCGGCGTACAAATGGATTAAGTATACTTTTTTTTTTTTCTTTTAAATCGAAGTAACGTAAAGAAGGTACACGATCGACTATACTACCTTGGGAAAACGGTGGGCGGTCTTCTGTTTGTGGGACGGCCGCTATTGATGGATAGCAACGACCAGCATCGCCAGAAAAAACGAAGATCTCTTTTCTTTCTCTTTTCTTTTCTTTCTTTCTCTTCCTTTTCTCTTTCTTCTCTCTTCGCATCTTCGACATCCATTCCCATATTCTCCATCTTCCTTGAACGAAAAAAAACACCGTGCCTTCTCTCTCGCTCTTCCGCCGCTCTTCTCACGATCTTTTTTTTAAAAGAACCCTGCGGTTCCTTCCGCTATCCGCTACTCCCCCTTTTATTCCTCTCCCGCTTAATTACGTATTTACACTGGCTTCTTCGGACGCCCGTGGCTTTCGACCAACCCTCGAGTATATTTCCAACTTGGAACATCGCTGCGAAATTGAAACGAAAATGGGGTGGAAAAAGGGATCGAGGAAAGTAAATCGAGGATTTGTTTTTCCTCGTTTTCGTGGTAAACCGAAGTCGATGTTCTGTTTCAAAAAAAAAAAAAGAGAGAGGGATGGACTTGAAGGATTGAGGAATAAAGAAAAAAAAAAAAAGGGTAGTGGATACAATTGAGGTTAAAACTATCGAGAATTGATCTGGGTTATTTTTCATCGACGAGCATTGTGACGAGAGTGAAAATTACTTTTTCAGATAATCATCCTCATCAGAAACACAGTATCTGCCCGTGAAAAGTATATATATTTTTCGGATGAGTTTTATTCTCGAAATTATAATCGTAAGAGGAGAATCTCGAGGGTGGAAGATCGCTGGGCGTCCTGCCGATCAACGTGAAACTCATTCGAATGAGTTGTAGATCCTTAAACAAAATCAACATGGCCGCCGTAAACGTATAAACTAATAAAATGTAAAAAAAACAACGTTCGATTATCTAAGTAACAAACGATAGTTTTCATATCTTTTCTCCCCCCTTTTCGTACGAAATCGCCTTTTATTTTCATTTTTTTCTTTTCTCATTTTTCTCTTTTTTTTCTTTTTTTTTTTCTTTTTATCTTCCTTAACACAATACCTACTTAATATTACAGGGAAGTTTGACCATTATTACTTTTTTTTTTTTTGTTTATTTTTATAATTCTGCGTATTCTCGATTCATATTTAACCGAACGATTCGTCATCATCTTTCTTTTATCCCTTCAATTAACGCAATTCGACTATATAGAAAATGCGAGGGACGATTAACTTTTCGGGATTACACGAATGTAATCGACGACGTATCGACGTATATTTCCTCGATGATTTTCCTTCCTTTCTTCTTTTATAAACCTAATCTCTCAAATATCTCTCTTAACTTCTGAAGAACACGATCTCATCAAAACGTGACTAAACATCCTTTTTTATCATTTGCACTATCCTAGAAGAATTTGGCTCGCGTTTAAACTCGACTAAATCGGTCCTCCGCCGAATGGAACGCTAATCGATGAAAATCACGTAAGAAAATGGAAAACAAAAGATAGTTCTTTTTCGTTGCTGATTCAAACGAAAATAAAAATAAACGAAAAAAACGTAACACACTTTCTGTTCATCTTTATAAATAATACTGACGACGATAGATATCCTTGGCTCGAATTCCCGCCAAGCGGGAATTGTTTAAAAAAAACTCGATCGAAATGGATCGATACGTCGTCGATGCCCGATCCAATTACCATCCAAAGTCGTCGATCTCGCTCGAACGCACGCTCGATTCGTCCCTCGCATCGAATCAACATAGATAAACCCTACTATCGAAAAAAAGAAAAATCTTAAAAAACGCTTCTACGAGAGCTCGCCAGGTACTCGACACTCGACTCTTTCCCACTCCGAAATCTCTATCCGCGGATAATCGGCAAGATGCGATAATACTTAACACAGGGGGGGAAAAAGCTTACTCGATCCGCTAATAATTACATAATTATTCGTTCCGATATACGTTGAAGGGGCTCGCCTCGTAATTCAAACTACAAAAAGAAACGAAACAGAACAGGATCCACGATTTGTTAAATGCACGATTCCTCCAACCCACGATTTTGCCCGCTCCAAGAATCGAAACGATTCTAGCAAAATCGAGTTTAA